TGAAGCAAAAACAAGTAACAGACAAAGGTAGAAGTCACATGACTATGCAAGCCAGATGGTGCATTACATACAATAACCACCCTCTAAAAGGAGAAATTCATTATCATCTCCATTTTAAATTGGAGCCTCATAATTTTAAACTATGCCTACATATTTCCTCCATGAAGAGAAATATTTTCTCAGCATTCGCCTGTCGAGCTCCCTCACAATCTTGTATGTTTTAAGAAGGTCACCTGTCAGTCTTCTAAACCCTAATGACCATAGACCCAAACTGCTCAACCTTTTCTTACAAGGAAAACCCCTTCATCCTAGGAATTAGCTGAGTGCACCTCCTCTGTACTGCTTCCAATGCAGGTTTATCCTACTTTAAGTAAGAAGACCAAAATCTGTATACAATGAAACCAGGTAAATAAAAAGCATTAACATATTGGATTCTTTCTCTAAGTTCCACAAGGACTGCTTAGGCTTCACCTGCTATAGTCTTTCCTTACCCATACCTTGTGAAGCATCTTGGACTTTATCTACCCCATCAATGAGCTACCATGAGGAGCTGTTTTCCTATGGTGGTCCCCTATGGTGGTCTATAGCCATCTGATTTCCTTCTACCACTGGATGTTGGGCCTGGACACCAAGAATGAGGCCTGACATATAGCCTGGCCTGGTTATCACACTGACATGTCAAAATGAGTTTGCCATCACTTACTCTGAACCCTTATCCCTAATCGTCCTGCACTGCTTAAAATTGCTGTTTTTCAGTAGGAAGATTGAAGAAAGCAGGAACATGAGTTTGGAGGTCCAGGAGAAAAGTGAAACAGAGGTGACCAGAGAGACGGGTGACCGTGCAGGGAAAGATTATGTCTGATGGTGAACTTACATTGCAACTTTGTTCATATTTCAATTTCAGTTCAGTCTGGGACTTATTGCAATGAGTCGCACTTTGAATGGAAGTGGAAAGGATAGAGGATGAATACCAGATATAACTGATCCAGTGTGATAGGAGGACCATGTGTTGTTCCAACAGTTAAGCCAGATCTTTTGATAGTGGGAATGTAGTGAGTTGGTCTATTGGAATGTTGAGCTTTGATCTGTATTTCTCTGTAATGTGAGCAATGCAGTGAAATGTTATCTTTGGAAGGGGACTTCTATACAATCTCTGTGAATGGGAATGATTTATTGGAATGTTTTGCTTGGATTCGATAAGATTTCTGCAGACTCTGGGCAATGATGGTGGCATTGGGGATAAGTGGTTGAAGCAGATTACAGCTGCTGTTTGTTGAAATTGATTTACATCCCAATGTATGGTAGAAGTGATGGAGTGTGGATCCTGTGCCTGCTGCCTGTGTGATCCACACCACAAGCATTTATTGTGTTATGCTTGGTACTCAGGAGCTCTGGAGCTCATTGAAAATTCTGCCGTTTATGTTGTAAGTCACACCTTGTTTTACTCACCCTTGGCCATGTGCTTGTGAACTTACGATAGCTCCCAATCCAGCAGCATCATGATTTTAACTGTTTGTCCTTGTTTAAAAGTCTGTCCATGGCCCCCATCTTTGTAAATACCTCCATCCCTTGAGACCTCTTATGGTCTTCCAATTCTGGCATCTTGCATATCTGGATTTTCATCACTCTACTGTTGTCTGTCTTTGCACAGGTCCTACTTATGGAATTTCCTCCCGCTGCCTGTCATAGAGTCATACAGCACGGAAACAGACCCTTTGGTCTAATCAGTCCATGCTGACCATAATCCCAAACTAAACTAGCCCCACCTGCCTGCACTTGGACCATATCACTCCAAACATTTCTTATTCATGTACTTATTCAAATGTCTTTTACATGTTGTAACCGTACCCACTCTTTGTGTAAAAAATTTGCCCCTTCTGTATTTTTTAGATCTTTGTCCTGTCACCTTAAAATCCTGCCCCCAGTCTTGAAATCCCCCACCCATAGGAAAACACACCTGCCATTCACCTTATCTATACCTCTCATTATTTTATAAACCTCTATAAGGTCATCTCTCAACCTCCTATGCTCTAGTGAACAAAGTCCCAGCCTGTCCAGCCTCTCCTTATAACTCAAAACCTCCATTCCTGGCAGCATCCTGGTAAATCTCTTCTGAACCCTCCCCAGCTTAATAATATCCTTCCTATAACAGAGTCCAGAGCCAGGCAATAACTCTGAACAGCAACTTTCATTTATACGTAGAGATGTAGTAAAACATCCAAAGATACTTTACAGAGAGCATTATCAAGCAAAATTTGAGACTGAGCCACATGAGGAGATATTAAGATGGGTGGCCAAACTCTAGCCAAAGAAGTAATTTGTAAGGAACATGTCAAAGCAGGACAGAATAGACAGGCAAAAGGTTTAAAGAGAATTCCAGATTTTAGGGCCCAGACAGCTGAAGACAAAGTGACCAACTGTGGAGCAAAGAAAGTTAGGATGATAAATAGAAATTGCTGGATAAAATCAGCAGGTCTGGCAGCGTCTGTGTAGAGGAAGCAGAGTTAACGTTTCAGGTCCAGTTACTCTTCCTCAGAACTGATTTTAGCGAGGAAAATGTTGGTGTATATGCTAAAGTGCTAAAGAAGGGGTGGGGGAAGGGGAAAGGATTAAATGATAGAGCCCAGAGAGAGAGCGAAACCATTGGGTAGACAAAGGGTTGGGTGAAGGTCAATTTGGGAGAATGAATAGCTGATAAAGAGGCTGACAATGGGTTCTTTGTGGTAATAGCCCATGTGATGACAAGGCCTGGTGTGTGGGGTTGGGGTGAGGACATGGAAAAAGGTGCTCAGACTCTAAAATTATTGAATTCAATATTGAGTCCAGAAGGCTGCAAGGTTCTCAAGTAGAAAATGAGGTGTTATTGTTCCAGCTTGCACTGAGCTTTGCTGGAGCACTGTAGAAAGCACGAGACAGGGATTTTGGCCAGGGAACACAGTGGTGTGCTGACGTGCCAGGCAACTGGAAGTTCTGGGTTTTTCCGGAGAGAACGTAGGTGTCCTGAAAAGTGGTTGCCCAATCAGAGGCATCTGGATGGGTGTATGAATAGGAAGGGATTTAGAGGGATATGGGCCAAATGTTGGCAAATGGAACTATGTTAGGTTTGGATGACTGGTCAGCATGGAAGAGTTGGACCGAAAGGTCTGTTTTCATGCTGTATGACTCTATGACTCTACAAGCAGATGACAATGTAAACAGCGAATACGGTAGACTAGACTGAGCGAAGTGCAGATAAATAATTGCTTGGCCTGGAAGGTGCATCTGGGGCCTTGGATAGTGAGAAGGGAGGAAGTAAACGGCCAGGTGTGACACCTTCTGCATTTGCAGGGGAAGGTCCCATGGGGATGTGGGGAGATGTTGGGATTGGTGGAAGAGTGGACCAGCGTGAGTATTGGTGGCATGGTGGTGGCATTCCTACCCTTGGACTGGGGCAGCCAGGTACAAGCCCCACCTGCTCCAAATGTGTGTAATAATATCTCTGTACAGAACGATTAGGAAAATAATTTTTAAAAAAAGATTTTTAAAGAAACTCTGATTGGACCTGGCTGACATAAAAGGATGACAGTCACTAATATCAAGCCCCTGAATGCCTGACTCAGTGAGAGGCAGTGCTATTGTCAAAGGCTATTCATTTGTAAATAAAGAGTGATTGCTGATAAGATGCTAGTCTCTCAAGAGTTATTTCAGGGCTCCCTGTCCCTCACTCCATATGTCCTCTCAATCCTCAGCCAGTTTCCATGGCCTCTCATGCCGTCATGCAAAATCATACTAACTACTATGCTCACTCACCCAGTATGCACTATGTACAAAACCAATGGATCATACAATAACAATGGTAAAGGTGGTCCAGCTGAGAAAGATATGTTCTTTGAAAGAAAAGGCCGTTCTTCCTGTCATCCCATAAAAGTGTCAATCAGACAGACCATCAAAGTATTGATAAAGTGGTTTTAAACATTTCCCACCTCTTGTCGAAATAATCATTAAAACATTGACAATAGTAATGACAGAAGAATAATATTTAATCATTTAAGGAAATCAATCAAGCAAAACCAAAAGTTTACTTCATTTGTCAAAGCAAACTTTGTGGTGAGTTCATGCTGTTATTGGTCCTAGCTCTCAGCCAAGCATACGTGATGAGAACATATGGGACAAGTGACAAATGAGGTGTCACATAATAAGATGAGAACATTATTAATGTGATAGATCCTGACCCACCTGCTCTAAGAGAAAAGACTGAACTAATAACACCCCAAGGGAAAATTCAGAGAAGCGTGTTTTAACCATGAGGCCTATTTTCAAATCCTCCCTTACCCTTAACACTATGTTTTTTTAAAAGTCTGTTTTTGGGAAGCTCAATTCACTTGATCTTGTTGTTGTACCTTTGTTAGACACATTTGAAAGTTGCTGGTAAATTTGCTCATTAATCTTATTCTCATTACTTGGAGCTCTGTGAAAATACCCTAATAAACCAAATAGATTTCATCCTAGAACCATCTAATGTCCTCTTTATTTAGAACTGTATCATCTCATAGAATCCCCACAGTATGGAAGCAAGCCATTCAGCCCATCGAGTCCATACCACCCCTCTGAAGAGCATCTGACCTACACTCAACCACCTGCCCTATCCCTGCATTTCCTATGGCTTATCCACTTGGCCTATACACTATGGGAAATTTAGCATGGCCAATCTACCAAACCTGCACATCTTTGGACTGTAAGGAAACTAGAGCACCCAGAGGAAACCCACGCAGACACGGGGAGAATGTGCAAACTTCACACAGACAGTCGCCTGAGGTTGGAACTGAACTGGAGTCCCTGGTGCTGTGAGGCAGCAATGCTAAACACTGAGCCACCGTGCTCCTCTTTTGTCAATAGCATCAAACATACACACCCACCCCCTCATTTTCTTTCTCCATTTTCTTTCTCTATCATTCCTAACAGCTTCATCAATAGAAAAATGGTTCTGCTGACTCTGAATAATAGTAACTTTCTTCTATCAGGGAGCATATGGAACAACAGAAAACAGCCCGGTCACATTTCAAGGATTCCCAATGGACGAAATGACACGGAAACTAGAAACAGTTGGATATGTTTCCCCTCACACCGAGGTAAGAAGGTGGTAGTTTAATTAGTTCCTGATGACTGTATGTAAGGTTGGCATAGCTTCACTTCTTCCTTCTCGATATCTCCCTCTCTATTCACATCCTTTACCTCATTTTTCTCTCCTCCCCTTCTCTCCTTCTACTGTTTATTTGTGTTTTTATTCTTTCTCTTCTCTCTTTTCCCCTCTATTTCTCTCTCTTCTCGTTCTCTCTTACTCTTTACCTCTTCTTGCACTTCCTTTTATCACCATTTCATTCCTCTGTTTCTATTCCCTACCCTTCCCTTTTCTTAGCCCTTCCTTCTTTCTCTCCTTTTCTCTCTCTTACTTCTCTCCTAGCTTTCTATTGCTTTCTGTCTGTATGTCCCTTTATCACTGCTGGGTATCTCTCTGTCTCTTCTCTCTGTGACTGGTTTTGTATTATACCTGAAAACTGTCCTCACAGCCTGGATGAATTCTATTTCTGTAGCTCTTGGTTGTAAGTGAGTCATCCGCCCAGCTCTCCCACTACTGAGAAGCTGAGTTCAGCTTTGGAACAGTGCCATGGTTACTGCCTAGCTAGGGTATCATGTTATGTCAAAAGTTGCATAAAGCAAAGTCCTCCTGGTTTGTCTGATTGATATCAACCCTGCGCCAAACATCATTTCTCACCAAATGGCCAATTGCTTGCAGAAGTTTCAAAGGCTAGTGCTGGTGATGACATTTGCCAGCTCAGCTTGGATAGATTTTGTAACATGACATTCCTCCTACAACCACCCCATCCCACGAACCAGTCCTTGGTCATCCAGCATGCCATGAGGAAAGCTATATTTTGGAGGACTTCTTTTGTCTCTGTGTGTTTTGAGAAACTGACTTTGTGCCTGTGGAAATGATAATTGGTTAAACTAAAGATTGTAACATTTAAGGCATAGAATACACTCGATTCTGATGAGGAACAGGGGGCATAAAATAGACCAATTCAGTGGTCAGTGAGTGGGTTGGATTGGTGGGGAGAGACTAAAGTCAAGTTGGCACCATCACAACTAACATGTTGATATTAGCTCAAAATCACTGAGATTCGGGGTCATGGAAGGCCTGGAGGAGCATTTGTTCAGTGCAACTGGGGATACTGCGGCTTGAGGAAACCCAGAAGTGGTTCTTAGCAGCAGTGTAGCTGCAACCGGAGATCATTCTTGTGTTTAGATGCTGAAATATTACCTGACCATCACAGGAGGACACTCTACATAGTATGTCAGTTAAGCTTGAAAAGAACGTCAAAGGAGGCTGGATCTAGAAGCAGATTTGAAAGAGATCTGGATTAGATTACGATTGTACATCACATTATCCTTTTAGGGTGAGGATTGTATTTATGAAATTTAGGTGGAGTAAACATATGTCAGCTGGAGATCCAAACTATTTCAGGGAAGTCCTGGAAATGTTGTGATCCACTCAGAACAGCTGAAGAGTTTGGATTTGCCAATGTTGAAATGTTAGACAACAGCCCTGTGAATCCAGTGGAAGAGATTGAGTAACTGGGAGATGAACAGCCATTGTGTCTGAGTTACAGAAATTTTTGAGGGAAATCAGAAGGTGTATCCTCAATGGAGGGGAACTGAAATCCTTCACAAGGAAGACAGAGCATCGGCGATTTTTTTGGGACTTAGTATTGACTGGTGTCTGAGTGGGTGCTCAAAATTTGAGGAACTTGTTTTGGTTATGTCAACTATTTGATAAGCAGTTTTTAGTATGTACAGCTTAAGCTGGCCTGCTAACACATATTTACCTTGTGTTTATTCTTGATGTGAGAGTATGATAGGTAAAATTGACTGTTTGCTTTATTAACCTGTGTATATTAAAATATATTCTCTTAGTAAGCAACTGGGAGTTCAAATTTTGCTGACTTAAACAGTAAAGGTTAATAGTTTTTAACCATATTGGAACAAATTTTGAGATCTCGTCTGGGACTATAATAAAACTTGGAGAGCCGATATGGGATCATAACACAAACTCCACAAATTTTGCCTTCCCAGGCCAATAAGAAAGCAACCTGTCTCAGTCAAACACATTTCATTCCAAGTTCTATCTTTTAATAGCTACTAAGCAAAAGTATTCCAAGAAAAGGAGAATAAATGATTTTTCAAATATCATTTTGAATTCCTTCTTGAATTGTTCACAGTTGTGTCTGAGAGATTAGTCCTCAATTTCTGAAGCATCTTGTCCAATTCCTGGAGGGTTGGCACCTCAAGAATTAGCCAATATATGAAGTAAATGTTTTGCATTTAGAACATGGGCAAACAGAGTGATTCATTAGAGCATGATTGCAACATATGGCTCCTCCAGTCCTATCTCATGGCATTTTAATTTGTGTTACAGGCCAAGGTTGTGCATCTCCAAACTGAGGAACTCCTTCCTTTGAACACAGCGGGAGAGCTGTGGATCCGTGGATACAGTGTTATGTTGGGATACTGGAATGAACCAGAAAAGACAAAGGAATGTATCACACCAGAGGGCTGGTACAAAACAGGGTGAGTCAACTTTCCCTGGCTTGTAAGTTTTGAGGGAACCTGGATAACTAATCAAACAATCAGCCAATGTGCAATGTTACTGAGCCAATCAGGCTACAGGCTAAGTAAGAACTTACATTTTTACATGTGTGCATGCAACTGAGAGATGGGAAACAGTGAGCAAGCCTGTGCGCAGTCTTTTTCTTTAAAGTAAACTTCAGTGTGTACTCACTCATCATTATTGTAAGTTCCAGAGATTGAAACACTGTCAGTTATGATATTATTCAAGCTCCTCGTTTAGATTCCAGTTTATAACTTCGTGCCAAATACTTGTTGATCTTTGGTTATCCATTAATTCTGTTATTGTCATTTCCCTCTGCCCTCTTTCCTTGATGAAGTCATCGATCTCATATTAGTAGGGTGGTGAAATGGGCGAATGGGACTCCTGCCTTTATCGGTCGAGGCATAGATTGCAAAAGCTGGGAAGTCATGTTGGAATTGCATAGAACTTTGGTGAGATCAAAGCGAGAGTATTATGTGTGGTTCTGGTCACCACATCGCAGGAGGGTTGTGATTGCATTGGAGGGGGTGCAGAGGAGATTCACCAGAATGCTGCCTGGGATGGAAAATTTAAGAGATGAGGAAAAGTTGGATAGGCTTGGGTTGTTTCCCTTGGAGCAGAGAAAATTGAGGTGTACAAGATTTTGAGGGGTATGGACAGAGTAGATAAGGAGCAGCTGCTGTCCATAGTTGAAGGGTCAGTCATGAGGGGACATGCATTCAAGGTGAGGGAAAGGAGGTTTAGGGGGGATGTGAGGAAGAACCTTTTTACCCAGAGGGTGGTGCCATTCTGAAATGCGCTGCCTGGGAGGGTGGTAGAGGCGAGTTGCCTCACATCCTTTAAAAAGTACCTGGATGAGCACTTGGCACATCATAACATTCAAGGCTATGGGCCAAGTGCTGGCAAATGGGATTAGGGTGAAGGTCAGGTGCTTCTGATGTGTTGGTGCAGACTCAATGGGCCAAAGGGCCTCTTCTGCACTGAATGATTCTATTGGGATGTGCCTTTGGGGTACTGAAGTCAGTTGCAGCATTCGTTCACTCACCATGGCTGAGAACCTTTAACTGAACCCTGGCCAAGAAGCAAAGTTGAGATATCATATTCCATACAACTGAGACACACATTAACTTTACCAAGAGAAGGCCAATATCCTCCACTTTCCTGTATTTCATTGCTCCACAGAAAGCCAGCAATTAAACTCTAGTTCTGACGCTGATGATCTCTGGTAAAATTTGCAAAAATGCAGTGTTAATTACTTGGTCCTGCACTTCCAGCGATATCGCCAAACTTGATGCGTATGGTTACTGTCAGATTGTTGGCCGATGTAAAGACATGGTTATCCGTGGAGGAGAAAACATTTATCCAGCAGAAATAGAAGCATTTCTGCATACACATCCAAAAATACATGAAGTCCAGGTAAGTGACTTAAACTACAGTTTATACTAGTGGATGTACAGTTTTTCACTGGGTGTAACTGGAATGGGTTGGTAAAGGAGAGGTCACAGCTGACCTCTTCAAATTTTCTGAAATTCATATAGACTTCTAGAAGTCACTGAATAAGACCCCTCATAAAGACTATTAACTAAGGTTGAAGCTTGTGGAACTGAAGGTTAACTATTGACTTGATTAGAAAATCGGCTAAATGTCAGGAAAGGGAGTAGGCAGAATGGGGTGGTATTTTCATAGGCAGCTTGAATTCCACTAGGATCTATGTTGGTGCCTCAATTATTTATCTTGTTCATTGATGATTTAAACAAAGATTTTGAAAGCTCACATTTCCAAATTTGCCAATTACTCAAAGACAGGCAACACTGTAAACTGCCTAGATTGAACCATAAGGAGAGAAAATGCATATTTAATAAATGGTGAAAGACTAGAAACAGTGGAGAAGCAAAGAATTTGATGTGTGGAAGTGGCGATGGTGGCAACATACATAGATCATGAAAATTATGATCTATGGTACAATTATGATTAAAATGCTTGATAAAGTACTAACTCTATGCCTAGATAATGAGATTACCAGGCATTACGAAATCATGCTTCAACCATACAAGACCCTTCTTAGCTCTTATCTGGAGGCTTATGCACAATGCTGGGCTGCAGGAAGGACATATTGACCTTTGACTGATAGCTGACCTCTCAAATTTAACTTATGAGGAGAAATCACACAATCTATGGAATCATAGAATTATTGCAGCACGGAAAGAGGCCATTCAGCCTATTATGTCTGTACTGGTTCTTTACAAGAGCAACTCAATTAGTGACACTTCCACATCCTTTCTCCAGTGCTCTGCAATTTGTTTTTCTTTTCACATAATCAGCCAATTCTCTTTTGAAACCACAAGTTCACCTGCCTCCATCACAATTTTAGGAATCACATTCAAAATCCTAATCACTCCCTGTGTATAAAGGTAAACCTCATGCCACCATTCCTTTTGCTGATCACCTTAACTTCTTTCTCTTTGCCGATCAGTCTAACTATATGAATTTTGTCCTCACCCCTCATGGATGTCCTTTCTTTCCTACAATACAATATCTTTCTTAATCAGTACTGTTACCTCACCTCTCTTTTTCCCTTCACAATATGTGTGAGTAGTTTGTACTCTTGTACAAGTCAATTATTTTAATTCACCGGACATGTTTACCAAACTTCCTGGGCTTACATATGTGCATTGTACTCAACCCTTTTCATTCCTTGAAGTTCTTCTTAACCTGCTGCTATCTAATATGGTATAACTTCCTTCTTGAGTAGTATTCAGCACTCTTACCTTATGTGCCTTAATTTTTCTTTTCTGTTTCTATATGTTGGTGTCCATTCCCCTGCAAATTAAGTTTAAATTCTTCTAAGACATCCTTGTCGTTTTGAGGAGCAACTTATACTTTTTGAATAGTTGCCTCCTGCCTCAGAACTGGTCCCAGAATCTGAAACCTTTCCTCCTATACCATGTTTCAAGCCATGTATTGATCGTTCCTATTTTCTTTTTCCACTCTTGTTTGTATGTGGTACTGGTAAGACCAGTAAAATTGGCGAATGACAAATATTGATCCAACTTGTCTTATGTGCCTCAAAATGGAGGTCCGGTATGACTAGTGCATTCATTAACAAGTAATTTTTTTTTTAAACTGGCTTTTCCCTCAGGGTTTGAGGGCTTACTTTTTGACCTGCTTCCTTACCTCCTGAAAGTCTGATCAAAGAAACTCAACACATGTTCTCTTTTTATTGTTGTGACCGGCCTGTGCCATATCTTCCAGCTTACTCCCTACTCTCTCCAGTATATTTTGACAGAAACTCCCAAATAATGTAGCATTACAAGCAACATCTCTGCTGCATGTTCATGTCCTTATTATAGTTATGCTAAAATCTGAATGGAAATTCTAACTCCATTTTAGAAAAAGATCAACTTTTAAAATTTTCACATATTAAATTTCTCAAATTTAGTATTCTGTAAAATCAGCTCTCCAGAGAATTGGACCATGTTACGTAGAGTGTTTAGTGATCTGTGTTGTACCTGTTCTGAGTGTGTTTCATTGGAAACTGCACTTTCTATGGTCTCGTAGGATTTCTTTTTATTCTTTCATGGGAATTGGCCTTTACTAGCAGGGCTACCAATTATTGCCCATCTCTGGTTGCCCTTTAGAAGTGTTGTTGGAGTTGCACTCACAGAATGCCTACAATGTGTAAACAAGCCGTTCAGCCCACCAAGTCCACACCAACCCTCCAAAGAGCATCCTACCCAGACCTGTCCCCCTACCCTTCTTTGTAACCCTGTATTTCCCATGACTAATGCACCTAACCTAGAAATCCCTGAACACTATGGGCAATTTAGCATGGCCAGTCAACCTAACTTGCACATCTTTGGGACGAAACAGGAGCACCCAGCAGAAACCAATGCAGACATGGGGAGAATGTGCAAATTCTATACAGATAGTCGTCTGTGGTTGGAATTGAACCCAAGTTCAACTCGCTGTGAGGCAGCAGTGCTAACCACTGAGCCATTGTGCTGCCCCTCATCCAGGCAAGTATTCTGTCACACTCCTGACTTGTGCCTCGTAGATGTGGACACACTTTGGGGCGTTAGGAGTTGAATTGTTGCAAGATTCCTAGCCTCTGACCGGGTGTTGTAGCCATAGTATTTATACGGCTGGTCAATGGTTACTCCCAGGATGTTGATACTGGAGCATTCAGTGATGATGCTGCCACTAAATCTCAATTGATGATGCATAGATTCTCTCTTGTTGGAAATGGTCATTGCCTGAGACTATTTGGCACAAATGTTACTTGTAACTTGTCAGCTCAAACCTGGATGTCGTCCAGGTCTTGCTGCATTTTGGCCTGGACTTCTTCAATATCTGAAGAGTCATTAGTGGTGTTGAAATTTATGCAATCATCAGCAACAATCCCCACTTCTGACCTATTGATGGAGGGAAGGTCATTGATGAAGCAGCTGAAGATGGTTGAGCCTCAGTCACTACCCTGAGAAACTCCTGCAGACATGTCCTGGAGCAGAGATGACTGACCACCAAGCATTGCAGCCATCTTCCCATGTATCAGGTATAACTGCAGCCAACAAGAGTTTGCCCCTTGATTCACACTGACTCCAGTTTAGGTAGGACTCCACTCAATCAAATGCATCCTTAGTGTCAAAGACAGTAACTCTCACCTCACCTCTGGAATTTGGCTCTTTTATCCATCTTTAGACCAAACTGTGAAGAGGTCAGGAGTTTAGTGGCCCTGGTGGAACCCAAACTGAGTGTCAGTGAGCAGGTTAGTGCTAATGACATCTGACATATGCTTTCTTTTTGCCTTATCCTACTCTATTCTCTTTGACATCCATGTTTGTGATCAGACTCATTCTCCTACTGGGAACAAACTGTTCTGAACGCTGAACATCTCCCAATACTCTGACGCTGATTTACCTTTAAATAACTGTTTCGAGTCCATTTTTGCTCAATAACATCTGAGGTTAATTGAATTGGCCTTTCCCCCGTTTAGACATTTTAAATATTTTTGATCTTTATCCTTTTTCATAACTTCTTTAAACCAAACTGAGTTATGATTGTTACCACAAAAATATTTCCCACTGATTCCCCTTCCAACCACCTAGATTAATTCCCAAAATCTAAGTTCAGAACCTCACTGTTTCTTGTTGAGGTTGCAATGTATAAATTAAAAACCTCTCCTTACATTTTAAGAATTCTTCTAGCTCAATAAATGAGTCTGTGACGGGGTGTTGTGTGCGATGGTGGGGCAGGGGGAGTGGCTGTATCTGTTTGATGGGATTTAACTCCATATTCTGTTGGCAGGTGGTTGGAGTGCATGATGACAAGATGGGTGAAGAGCTCTGTGCCTGTGTGAAAGTCCACGATGGAATGGAATGCACAGTTGAGGAGGTTAAAACGTACTGTAAGGGACAGGTATGTGCTTTTGTGGGTCATACTTATATATGGTCAACAATAAGATTAACAAGAAAGAGTCCTCTTTACAATGGACATAGAGAGTCATTAGAATACATTTTATTAGTCAGAGGGGTGAGCATTGTAGGTCAAGGTGCTGAAAAATAAATTCAGCTCATTTTGGTGAGAAATGTCCTTGCAGAGGGAAACTTCCTTGTGATTGCGCCAGAGGCAAGAAGAGGCCTCAATAAGGAAATCTGTCCTCCTATGGCAGGATGTCATTTAGACTCGCTAACGGCATAAATGGGAGTCACACGGCTTTCTTGTGGCTCCCACAGGGTGCCCAGCAAATTCCGCCAGGTTAGCATGCAGCCTACAGATATAGAAGGGGATAGGGTGAGAGGGGAGTCAGTACTGAATGCACACCGCACCCCCCCCGCACTCCTGTGATCCCCACTCTCTGTGCACCCCAACACATCCTCAAATAATCAAAGCCAGAGTTCCAGCGATGATTCCTAGTGAAGTCCTGGCAGCCATCACTCCCAGTACTGCTACCAGCAATGGTCTCTGATTGACTGGCATCTCTTGTGGGTCTGATTTCCATTGTTGGCATCCTAAATGGCAGAAAATGTCCACCATTGCCCACTTAAGTGCCTCAGAGGCACACTGGGCCACACCTGGAATATTTTGTGCAGTTTTGGTCTCCTTATCTGAGAAAGGCTGTTCTTGGTTTAGAGGGAGTGCAGTGAAGGTTTACTGAATTGATTCCTGGATTGGCAATACTGATGTATGAGGAGAGTGTGAGTTGCTTATGATTAAATTCACTGGATTTTAGAAGAATGAGGGGGTATCTCATAGAAACCTATCAAATTCTAACAGGACTAGACAAGTTAGATGCAGATGGATGTTCCCGGTGGTAGAGTAGTCCAGAACCGGGGTCATTGTTTAAACATAAGGGGTAGACCTTTTAGGACAGACATAAGGAGAAATTTCTTCACCAGATAATGGTGGGCCTGTGAAATTCACTCATAAGGTAGTTGAGGCCAAAACATCATGTGTTTCAGGAAGGAGTTAGATATAGCTCTTGTGGCTAAAGGAATCAAGAAAAATGGGGCAAGGGTGGAATTAGTGTATTGAGCTCAATGATCAGCCATCCGAATGGCACTGCAGACTCGAGGGGTCGAATGGCCAACTCTTTCTCTTATCTTCTGTTTCTGTGTAAATACAGTCAAGCCTCCTCAACAGAAGATTTGCACATTTTCCATCATTCTGCAACTGGTAGGTGTTACCCAGGTCAGGAACTTTAAATTCTACCCATTGTATCTGGCCATTGAAATTAAAAAGTAGGGGAACAAGATTGCCCTGAATTCAAGATTCTCTCATTGATGTTCCCAATCAGTAAGATAGTAACTGGGTATGAGTCTCAGGGAAATTTGCAAATTTGCAAAATAGCTGGATCGTGGTGATATTAGAAGCCACCACCTCAGAAAAGTTCAGCATGGCTTGAGATCACATTCTATTCTTTCAGATGGGGTTGCAAATCACTAAATAGTCCTGTTGGTACTCCAAATGGTCAGCATTGATCCACCAAAGACACAACAGGGGCTCAATCTAAACAAAGGAAAGCATTTGTGGATTGTGGTCACATGTTTGTGACACCTATTGTACTGAATGCCGAGACAGGAGTGAATAGGATGGAATTTAGTGCCTTGAGACGGGAGTGAATAAAATAGGCTGAGAAGGACAGGAAGATTTCACTGATTCTTCATAGTCCACCATCACTGTATAATTTGGACTTGAGGGAGATGCGAGAGAAAAAACTGAAGCAGTATTTTGAAACTATCAATTTCTTTGTTCCTAACAGATCTCCCATTTCAAGATCCCACAGTACATGGTGTTTGTTAATGATTTCCCTCGGACTGCTAGTGGGAAGGTATGTACTGTAGCAGTAAACCTGAAAAGACTATTCATTTCTGATAACTGAAAATGTAAAGTAAAAATATTTCTGCATCACCGTCTGGACATAGAGAACATTCACATGTGCTCTGACTGCTATAATCAAAGTGGGGGTTCCAAGGCTGGTGCTGTAATTGGATTCCATAATGTTCTAGTGGGTGAAACTAATGGGTATTGCATTTATTATTGAGTGAGGTTTTGGTCCAGAGCTAGTATTTTCATCCCTGAAGCAGAAGGTGAAGAGTCTGTACTGCCCTCTGAGTGAACACTGGACAATGGTCATTGAAACCTGAATTGACAATCATTGGGATATTGAGTCCAATTGGTGTGGGTACACCTCCTTACTTTGCCATTTTAAGGGGGTTGACTGCATACTTCAAACTGTGGGCCATAGGAGAAGGCACTTCTCAAGGACAGGAACAGGAACTCAGCACAAGACATAGCTTTAGAACCTCATACATCAAACTTGTATTTGGAACTTTCTTGCAAGCAAAGTAGAACAGATGAATATTTATAATAGCTCAGACTGTGAGTAATTGAACTGGCCCAAGTTTGATAATCTCAACTGAATTAGCTGATCTTCACCAAGGTGGTGGAAGATGACATGTGTTACAGTTAGTTTCAGTGTTCAACCCAGTGATCACTGTTTCCCTTTGTTATAGACTTACCACACCCCCAACAAGAATTCATACTTGCAAAAACTGTGTTGGATACAGTGCTCAAAATCCAACACACTGTTCTACTCTGACAGGCCCAGCACTCAAAACCCAATGCATTGTCCCAATCATCAGATCTAGTGCTCAAAACCTAACCCACTGTCCCATCCTGAGAGACCCAGTGCTCAAAACCCAAAAAATTGTCCCACTATGAGAGACCCAGTGCTCAAAACCTAACCCACTGTCCCATCCTGAGAGACCCAATGCTCAAAACCCAAAAATTGTCCCACTATGAGAGACCCAGTGCTCAAAACCTAACCCACTGTCCTATCTGAGAGATCCAGTTCACAAAACCCAACCCACTGTCCCACTCTGAGAGACCCAGTGCTCAAAACCCAACCAATTGTCGTACTCCAAGAGACCCAGTGCTCAACACCCACTACGTTGTCCCACTCTGAGAGACCCAGTGCTCAATACCCAACTCATTGTCCCATTCTGTCACAGGGATTTGAGCCATGGTGAGAGGATTGAGCCAAAGTGAGATTGAGGGAAATGGGGAGAAAATTGTGAGGTGCTTTTGGTTAAGGGGACAAGATGGTTGGATGGATTGGGGATTGTACATAGAAAGTAGCTGGGTATGATTGATTCTTGGAAAGTGATATTCTTGTTAGGTTCAATCGACCTTTTCCTGTCTTGAAAATACCTTGTTTGAATTTTTTTTTGTGTTCTTACAGATTCAAAAATTCAAACTGAAAGAGCAAATGGAAGTACAACTGGGACTTGGGTCTAAGTAAAGAAAGGTCACATCATTGTCACAGAGTGAAATATCAGGACTCCTTTCATGCCCAAAATCTTTTGATTATACTGTCCTATAATAGTGCCCTACCATAGACAATCCTCGCTTAGTGTAAACTATACCCTTTTATGGGCTCCATTCTATCATGGCTTCTACTCAAAATACTTAACCCATGTGAAAAAGTCATATAAACTCTTCACAATGTCCAAATTAGATCAAATATAACTCATTACAGCATTGTGCGACGTGCAATATTCTATCCTTGGCCTGTCATCTTCTACAATGTCCCTCCTATACCCCTATATAATGTCATTTGAACCTCTCCATCATTATACATCAGAAAGTTGACGCAATGTTTGGATAAAACAGCTCAAAGTCCTTGACAATGAGGAAGAGCTTTGACTTCCATCAGAATAACAGTGGAAAGGAGGAATAAAGATGGTGCAGTTGAATTCTGTTCTGGGGACACAGTTGGGTGGAATACCGGCTACCATCCTTTGCATTGGTATGATGTTAACAAAACCTTCTGCAGGTGTGAAAAGTGTTGAACAGTAAAGAAACTGTTTTATCAGCACAGCTCTAGTTTAATCTCAGCTCTGTGTATGCTTTCCCTTCATTTGTCCTTTTCTGCTGCTTCAGCAATAAATTGATCATGTAATGCCTGGTCTGAAGGAAAAGTTTAATTCTGTATCGATATCCTATGTGCTTACAATAACACAGCAAAAGAGATCATTATTTTATAATATTCATACTTTCTGCATTATTCATATACTGCAACTCAGTGGGACTGCATTCTTTCTCCCTCAGGTACTGTCCATTTGATTGAGGTGTGTCTTTCTTAAAGCAGTGTTTTATTTAGTTGCTGTGGTAAAACACATTTGCCCTTGGCAAGAATCAGGGATCCTGCAGGTCTCATCCTGTTGGCTCTTTCATATTCGGGGTTTGGGACAATTGCCAAGGCCTACTTATATGAGTCATTGCAAGTGGTGACTCCAAGACCAAGGTGGGAAACAAGGGAGCATCCTCCCCTCAGTGCAACCAGTTCTGACAGAAATACCCCATCTACTTTCCCACAGAAGTGTATCAAAGCAGATTTACAATCAAAGAAGGGTCCAGACCCAAAACATCAGTTTTCCTGCTCCTCTGATGCTGCTTGGCCTGCTGTGTTCATCCAGCTCTACACCCTGTTATCTCAGATTCTCCAGTGTCGGCAGTTCCTACTATCTCTGAATCAGATTTACAATCCATACATTTATGGAATTTGATTGGTCATTGGTCTGTAATTCACTGCTTTTGTTCATTAAAACTATGAACATTAATCTGGGACATATACAATCTGGTTCTAATCGTTCACCCCTACAGTTGCCTGTAAAAATTGATTCTTGCAGTTTGGCAAATATTCACCATGATTTATGTGGTTGAACAAGTTTAAACAGTTGTTGCTGTTCCTGTGTAACATAAAAATGGAACATTTGAATGACACTGTTCCGATGGACATCAAGTCAAACTGCGAAACACTTATCCAACTTTCCAATCTCAGTCAGGCACTGCACTGAGCCTGTGGCTGTTTTCTATCACACTGCGCTCACTGATCTCTGTAACTACAGTGCCTTAATTTTGTTAATAGTCCATTGTTATTCTTCAACAGAAGGTGCCAAATGTTCCTCGGCACTACTTCAAAAGTAGGAGCAGAAGATGGTATCAATTTCCATTCTTGTAAAATGAAAGTGAGCACTAGCTCCTCAACAAGTTATGAGGCAATGTAATGGTTGCAAACTGATGCCAGTCAGCATTCTGCCTAAACATAAACTCATTATATGAAAGTAAGTGTTCTATGTTTGTAATGCCTTTTATTTGCTCAAGACAACTCAAAGCTCTTCATTGCCAATGATGTACTTTTGAAGGCAATAGAATACATAGAATTTTCATAGAATCCCTGCAGTATGGAAGCAGGCCATTTGGCCCATTGAGTTCACACTGATCCTCTCAAGAGCATCCCATCCACCTACCGCTATAACCCTGAATTTCCCTTGGCTAATTCACCCAGCCTGCACATCCTGGAAACTATGGGCAATTTAGCATGGCCAATCTACCTAACCTGCACACCTTTGGACTGTGGGAGGAAACTGGAGCACCTGGAGAAAACTCATGCAGACACAGGGAGAATGTGCAAACTCCACACAGATAGTCGCCCAAGACTGGAATCAGAGCCGGGTCCCTGCAGCTGTGAGCCACCATGCCGCCCACTGTTGTAGAATGCAGCAGCTAATTTGCGTACAGCAAGCTTCCACAAATAGTACCGAGATGCAAGCAAATGCAAAATACTCTAATGTTGGAAATTCAAAATAAAATCAGAAAATGTTTGAAATACTTAATAGTCTGGCATTGTCTATGGAGAGAAACAGAGTTAATACTACAGGTTGATGGCACTTTAGCAGCATTGTGAGATAAACACGATTTAATTCTTTTTTGATCTTAATTCATGGCCAATCATTGCACAAGATATGGGGAAGAACTCTCCTGCTATTCTTCAAATAGAGTCATGGCATTTTTTACATCCACCTAGTTTAATGGTTCATCCAATAGTTGCATCTTAGACAGTGCAGCCACAGTTTACTGCAGACCCTCCAACAGTGTGACGGTCTCCAAATAGAGACCCTGCGAAAGTACCATGCTCCCTCTGTACTGCCCAATGACAATGCAGCAATTCCTCAGTACTGTACTGGATTGACAGCCCAACCTATATGACAGAGCCAGCACCGAAGTAACGAGCACCAGTAACTTGATGTAAATCTCCATTGTTTGGACATTCAGGCTTATACAACATAATGTATGTCTTGTGTGACCTTCAAAAGGTGGTAAGTTTTTGTGTTGCAACCATTTGCACGCAACAAGATCTTACAAATTGTAGCCACACCAATAAAAAGTTGGTCTCTTTTTATTTGGTTGGTCAGGATTTGTGAGCCAATCTTTAACCAGCTGCCTGAAATATTATACCACACTATCTGTCCAGAGTTACTGAGCCATGCCTTGGTGTCTACCTATAGCCCATAGTCTGTTGATTCACCAGTGGAGCCAATGATGCATCAGGAAAATGAGTATCATACAATGCAAATTCTCTCCCTGTCACACCAAGCATTTTACCATAAATTTTAAACAAGTACAGGGTAGAAAACATTTGCAAAAGTAATAGTTTTTTGACTATTATTCCAGTCAACTGATACTAATCGTAAAACTCAACATTTTCACAATCCCCTTACCAAATCTAATAAACTCAGACAGAATAACTCTGAAATTTAAAGATATTTTCATTTTATCATATTGGGTGTACTTGGTCTTATTTGTAACAAATGCTTGGGAGTATAGTTCAATTGATGCTAAAGCTGCATTTCTAGGACAAAAGGGTTTATTAAGACGGGAAAATAAGGTATGAGAGTAAGCTTGTGGAGAATATGCAAACTGAGTGCAAAAGCTTCTATAGGTATAGAAGAGAAAAAAGATTAGTGAAGAGAATAAAGATTAGTCAAGATTAGTAAGTTCTTTTATGGTTAGAAACAGGGGAAGTTACGGCCGGAATAAAGAGCTAGCAGATCAATTAAATGCATACTTTGGTTCAATCTTTACAAAGGAGGGCACAAATAATGTCCCAAGATGCTGGGCAACACTGGGTCCAGTGGGATGGAGGAAATGAAGGAAATCAATATTAATAGGGAAATGATATTGGGAAATTGATGGGATTAAATGCTGATAAATATGCAGGGCCATTATTCTACATCTCAGACTACTTAAAAAAAAAAGCCCTGGAAATCATGGATGAAATTGGTGGTCTTCTTCCAAGATTCTATAGACCCTGAAACAGTTCCTATTAATTGGAGGGTATCTAATGTCAACCCTAATATTTTAAAATGGAGGTAGAGAGAAAACAAGTATAGATTGTTCAGCTTGACATTGGAAGTGAGAAAAGTGCTAGAGTCCATTGTAGAGTCATACAGCACAGAAACAAATGCTTTGGTCCAACCAGTCCATGCCGACCATAATCCCAAACTAAACTAGGCCCATCTGCCTACAGTTGACCCATATCTCTCCAAACATTTCTCATTCATGTACTTTTCTAGATGTCTTTTAAATGTTGTAACTATACTCACATCCAAACTTCCTGTGGAAGTTCATTCCACACACAAACCACTCTCTGTGTAAAGAAATTGCTGTTTGTGTCTTTTTTAAATCTTTCTCCTCTCACCTTAAAAACATGCCCCCTTGTCTTGAAATCCCCCACTGTAGAGAGAAGACACTTGCCATTCCCCTCATTATTTTATAAACCTCCATAGGGTCACCTCTCAACCTCCTATGCTCCAGTGAAAAAAGTCGCAGCCTATCCAGCCTCTCCGTATGTCTCAAACCCTCCAGTCTTGGCAACATGCTGGTAAATCTCTTATGAACCCTTTCCAGCTTAACAATATCCGTCCTATAAAAGAATTAATAGCGGAGCATTTGGACACCAATGACTGGATCAGACAGAGTTATCATCGATTTACTTAAGGTTTGACAATTTTGACAAATCCAGTGGAATCTTTCAAGGATGTAACTAGTAGTTGATAATGGGAACCAATGGATATAAGAACATAACATAAGAACTAGGAGCAGGACTAGGCCATCTGGGCCCTTGAGCCTGCCCTGCCATTTAATGAGATCATGGCTGATCTTTTTGAGACTCAGCTCCACTTACCCGCCCACTCACCATAACCCTTAATTCCTTTACTGTTCAAAAATTTATCTAGCCTTGCCTTAAAAACATTCAGTGAGGTAGCTTCAACCACTTCACTGGGCAGGGAATTGCACAGATTCACAACCCTTTGGGTGAAGAAGTTCCTCCTGACCTCAGTCCGACTGATATGGTTTACTTGGATTTTCAGAAGGCTTTTGATAAACTCCCATGTAAGAAATTAGCATGTAAAATTAAAATTCAATGGTTTGGGGTAGTTTGCTAAGAGGGATAAAGAACTGGATGGCAGACAGAAAACAACATAGGACTATAACGGGCATTTGTCAAGTGGCAGGTATAATGAGTGAAGTACCGTAAGGATCAGTGCTCGAACCTAGCTATTCACAATATATGTTAATCATTTAAATGAGGGAACTAAATGAAATATCTCCAACTTTGCAAAAGACACAAAGCTAGGTGAGAGGGTAGACTGTGAGGAGGATGCAGAAATGCTTCAGTGTGATTTGGTCAAGTCGACTGAGTGGGCACATGCATGGGAGATGATGGATAAATGTGAGGTAATCCACTTTGGTAGCAAAAACAGGAAGGTAGATTATGATCTGAATGGTGATAGGTTGGGCAAAGAGGGAGTGCAGTAGGACCTGGTGTCCTTGTACACTAGCCACTGAAATTAACCATGCAGTTGCAGCAGGCATTGACGAAGGCAAATGCCATGTTGGCCTTCATAGTGAGAGGATTCAAGTACAGGAGTAGGGATGTGTTGTAGCAATTGTACAGGGCCTTGGTGAGATCACACTTGAAGTATTATGTGCAGTTTTGATCTCATTATCTGTAGAAGGATGTTCCAGCTATGGAGAGAGTGCAGTGAAGATTTACCAGACTGATCCTTGGGAGAGCAGGACTGAAGTATGAAGAGGGACTGAATCAGCTAGGAAATTCATATTCATAGTTTAGAAGAAAAAGAGGGGATTGCATAGAAACTTCAAAGATTGCAACAGGACTAGACAGGGTAAATACTGGAAAGATATTTCTGATGATGGGGAGTCTAGAACAAGGGGTTCTAGTGTAAGAATGTGGAGTAGGCCATTTAGGACTGAAATGAGAGATTTCTTCACCCATAGAGTGGTGAGCCTGTGAAATTGTTTACTACAGAAAACAGTTATGTCCAAAACAATAAATGCTTTCAAGAAGGAGTTAGTTATTGTTCTTAGGACTAAAGGGATCAACGGGCATGGGAAAAATGGGAATGGCACTGAGTTGGATGATCAGTCATAATTATATTAAATGGTGGAGCAGAAGAGTACAGACTGAATGGGCCTGTACTGTGCTATACTGTTCTATGTTCTATGTTCTACTCCTGTTCCTATTTTCTATGTTTCTATGTTAAGTTCCCCTCCAAGTCATACTCCATCCATATCACCATTCCTTCACTGCTGCTGGATCAAATCTTGGAGCTGTCTTCCGAAAGGCCTTGTGGGTCTACCTGTGGAGTTACCAACCATATGACACAGTATTGTGTCCAAAACAAGAAAGTGGGAAGGGAGAGGAGGGAATAGTAGGCTACATTCTTGAAAAGTAGACTAGCAGTTCCAAAAGGCAACTCACCACCATCTTCTTAGGGGCAGATCGGGACAGACAATAACAGCTAGCCTATCCAGAAGCATTCACTTACCAAAAATGAGAAAAATCTCACACATTTCTCTATTTCCTACTGTTAACCTTCTTCACTGTGCCTTCCTCTATTCCACTACTCCTTCCTCCTCTCCTTTTGCCTCCTTTCCCCCTTGACTTCTTTTTTCTGTCCCCTTCCTGCTTCTCCTCTTCCCTCTTTCATCATCCTTTTCCACATTTTCCCTTCTTGTCCCTATTTTGTCCCACCCTCCTCTTCCTTGCCTTTCTGCTCCCCCTCTTCTCCCCACTGTCTGGCTGTTTACAGACATCTTTCTTCATGCCTTTGGTGCCAATTTGTTGAAGTTCTTCAAGTGGGAGCTGGAATTGTTTCTGATTATGAAGGGCACCAGCTCTTAATGAATAGGAATTTGAGTGATCTCCTGGAATAGCTTGATTGCTTGAAAAGGATCTTCTCAGATTTTGCTTCCTCATTTTGGCTGAATTTTAATCTGTTTTTGTGCCTCTCCAAGGTGATCAAGTGGTCTATTTTTGTAAATGTAGCGTACTGATATAGGCAACACGGTTGTGTGAACAGTCTTATTGGCTGAGAGGGTTTCTGCTTGTTCACTATTACTCAGATGTGGGTATGTTTTGTACTGTTTGTTGCTGTTGTATATTTGACAGGTAGTTTCAAGACTGGGTGACAACACTGTAATTAGCAGGTATACACAGGCTGGGATCCCAGTGACCTTTCTGTTCTATGGTCCCTCAATACTGATGAGGTTCCTGCCTGGTCCTACACCGTCTTTTACACTTACAGCTTAGTACTGACTTAGCAGAGCTCAGTCAGTTCAGCAATCTTGGCCTTGAAAACAGAAGCAGAATTATCCAGGACTGGGATATAATGGAAACAGTTGGGAAAATGCCAGTGGTTGAATGGCAGCTGAGAACACTATGAACTGTGATGCCCTTGCTGTGGAATAGTGCACCAATGCTCAAAAAAGAACTGTCACTAGGAATAGTAAGCAAACCTCAACAAAGGAAAAACATCAGCAATGAGAAATAGGATTAATTTATTCCAGAGACTTGGAATTTCATTGGATGTCATCCTCTTCTCCCACTCTAACTTTGGTAGCATTACAGATGCAGTAGAGGAACAAGAGGCTAAGGCACATAGGCTATGGAACAAATGCTGGAAAATGGGACTAGATAATTAAGTAGTTAGTTTTGAATGGGCTGAAGGGCCTTTTCTCTGTTCTGTAGACCTCAATGACTCTATTATTCTAATAGCTTTCAGGAAATTCCTGGCCGTGGTCTTCATTTTCATTTTCTCCAATACTCCTTAAAGCAACTACAAAATTATAATACATCATTTCAAAATTTATTGAGATATAATATTGTGACATTACCATAGTAAACCTAGTGTATCAGTTAGGAATGGTGTTGAAAATTTTCCCAGGAAAGTTACACATACTTTCCTAACCATGATCCACACTGAGCTTTGGCAGCCCATTGTCACACCATTCACAGCAGAAACTCATAACAATGTAAACAATCCCCCAACTCATTATCTGTCCTGTTCAAGTTTGAGCTTCCATAAAGTCCACACCAAGGCAAAGTTTAGATGTGATGATTTTTCCTGGCATAGTTACAACCCTAACATAGTTCTTACAGATGTGGGCATATGAAGGGCAGCTAGTTGCTAGGGCTATCTGGTGAAGATCAAAGGATAAATGTATGTCCTAGACCCAGAGCTTTATTTAGTTATTGTTAGATTTAAGGGAATATGTACTCAGATGCTCCTCTTGGGAGACTAAATAACTGAGTATAGTCCCTAATTGGAGTAAGTGTGCCTGAGATATCAGAGAAGATCCTTTAATGAAATGACTACTTCGCTTGTTGCTTTTTCCTATTACTTCTTCAAACTTTGAAAACGTTTCTGGATCTGAAGGTAAGTCCAAATGGATGTTTCACTGTTCTGAAGACAATGTTTGCTATTTGAACTTGACAGATAATGTTGTAATGGTGCCGTGAAGCCTGGTGTCTCCTACCCATGGAAGTGGAGAAGCAATATGTTGTAGTTTAGCTCTCCAAGTAGCCCTGCAAAGAATGGAAACACTGTTTAGTAACCTTTCTCTTTTACAAGTAGAAAGAGTCAGTTAATTTCATTGGCTTTGACCTTGTCCAGGTTCTGTTGCTAAACTGGACAGAAATAACCTCCAAATGGATACCATAAACACTGCATTCAATCTGAAAGGTGTTCAATTATGTATATGTTCGTCGTAAATAGCAGGCACTGGGGAACATAGCTTACTTCTAACAATCAAAAGTTTCAGTCAAAATTGGAACTGGAGACAATGATGGAGGTGTGGGAATGATCATCTTATATTAATATTAAGGGTACATGTATGTATAAAGGTTGTGCAGAGGATACTTTACTCATCCAGAGGAAAGAATCCCATGGTACGATTTGAAGAAGAGCAGGAGATTTCTTCTGGCTAATATTTATCTCTTAAATTATCAGATTACCTGGTCATTATCCCACTTATGCTCATAGGACCTTGATGTATGCAAATTGGTTGCCGTTTTCCAATATTACAACAGTGTCTATGTTTGTTCCAGTTTGATGGGATGATACAGAGGGACTTTTTATCTCTATCTAATTTGCTTGTGCCTGAACTTTAGACTGTTTGATAGAGTTAGTGTAGGGGAAATTTTACTCTGCACCTAACTAATCTGCTAATCTGTTCCCGGAAGCATTTTGTGGGAAAGAGTGTAGAGGAAGATTTACTTTGTATATAACCCCATGCTGTAGCTGTCCTCCAACTCTTCTCCATTTCCTTCCAGATGTTTGGAACTGCACTCACCCAGTTCAATTCTTATTTATCTACTCAGAACCAGAGTAACAACTGCAATGGCTTCTCAACAATATTGGGACCAATGTCATTATTGGGCCGTGTTCCAGTGTGGTTAGGGAGAGTGTAAGCTAAATTGCCATGAGGGTTGACGGCAACATATAGAAGTAGAAAAGAAGACTAAGACCATGAAATGAGAGAATGGGACAGTATGAGAGAAGAGAACTGTTCCATATTGGAAGGAGCAGATTAACAAGGGTTGTAAGGACCACAAAGATAGGTTTACAATGCATGCTTGTAAATGTAAAAAGTGTGGTGAATGAGGTTGGTGAACTTCAAACACAGCTAGCTATGTGGTGATTTGATGTAGCTGTAAAAAATGAAATGTGCTCCTTCTTGTGATTTCACATAAACCTGTTGGATGATAACCTGGTGGCGTGTGACTCCTGACTTTGAAAAGGGATAGATGGAGGTAACCAAACGACTTTTTGGAGAATGAGTTTTGAAGAGTTTTTGAAGGAGGAATGTAGCTAGAGAGAACAGGATGAAGACAAATGTGTCCTATGTTACCAGATTATGATGACTGAAAGCTGACATCATTGTTGAACCAGAGAGATGACGCAAAACATTCAAAAGCATGGATGTTATCAGTTTGTTCCCAAAGTTCACAATAAAGGAAAATAATAATGTACAAAATAAGGGAAATAGATCCATACCATCTGGAAGGATAACACAGCTTCTATTGTTGAAGGTTTTGTTGGTTACATCTTGTGATGAAGTTATCTGACAAAACAAGATACAATTTAATTTAAGAAGTGTTTAATTAGTCCATAAATCCACAACTTTTCCGAACCCCAGACTCTACTCACCCAAATAATCTGCTGCTGTAACTGACTCACACCCTCCCCTGTCATGGATTCTATATGACCCCAACATCATTCATTTCTGTTATAGACATTTTTTTGTAAACATTTTCTCATTTTGAAAGGTAAAAGTAAAAAAAACTTCAATATAATCACCCGTCCCTCAACATTGAATCCCCCCCATTCCTACACAATTGTTTCTTGCAGCTCTTTGTGGAAGAAATGAGTTGAGTGGTATTTTTAAACTTAATCAGTTCAATAAAACACAATATGATGGTAGGGCAGATGGTGTATTGCAGGTGTAGCATGTGGAAGCAATGGATACCGGTGTGATCCACAACAATCACCTGTGTAGTAGATGCCTTAAGCTTGAAGTTGGTGAACTAGGGTCTGAGCTTTGAACAGTGCATCAGAGGGGGCAAATTATCTGAGCATGTTTTTACGAGAGGCAGTCACACCCCTTTTCTCTAGAACTGGAGAAATACAAATGTATAACAATGCCTTTCAGCTTTAAACCATTCTGGGTGAACAATAGCAAGTTGGTCATGTGATTGAACTCGTTTCCAATGCTGAAATGCTTTATTATCTGAAGACCCAAGGTGGTTTACAAAGAACTCCATTATAGAATATCAGCTGCAGACCAGGACAGTAACGCTGAGGCTGTTTTAAACTTGGTGCAATTACATCTTCACAACGCCTCCTAGCCTGATGACTTTGTCCTGGTCCGCCTGTAAAGAAATCTCACTTCTTGGTACAAACAAACTTTCAGTCTCCCCTAGAACTAGAACATGTCCCCTATGTCCCCTATGTCCCTAGGGGACATAGCTTTAAAATAAGGCCCATTTAAGATAGAGATGAGGAAGAATTTGTTGTCGTTAGTGTTTGGAGTTATCTCTCCCAGTGAACAGTGCAGGTGGTGGTTGCTGAATATATTCAAGGTTGAGTTAGACTGGTTTTTGGTTAAGAAGGGTGTAAAGGACTATGGTGGCCAGACAGCAAAGTGCAAATAAGGTCTCATCAGATCAATCATGACTTTATTGACTCGTGGAGCAGGCTCAAGAGTCAGGTGACCTTTTTCTGCTCCTATTCCTTGTATTCTTATATTCTTACAACTCAACACTCAGATTGTTTCTAAAGTCTGTTCCACTCCAAACCTCTCACTCAATCCTAGTAAAACAGATGGCTCCATTTTATTTTATGAGCTCCTCTAAACTCCTCAAAGCTCTCATACCTTTCTTGTTGTTCAGGCTGCTTGATACATCCACTGATCACTGGAACACCAGGGACTATTTGGCTCAATGTTCCTCTGTAATGTTTTTCTGTCTTTAACCACTGCACTGCTTGTCTCCCAAGACTGTTTCAACTATCAGGTAGTCATTATTGACTGCCCAGATTGATCCAGTCATCCAGGACCATCATACCCCAACCAGTGTAAATACATTTTTCTCTCCACAAACAACCCTCATAGTTTTGAATACTTCCATCAGATCTCCCCTTAACCTACCCCATTTGAATAGATGTTAAAGTTATCCGATGTCTCCTTGGATTTTCCTCTTTTCCTTAGGATCACATTAGAAAATCTCTTCTGGACCCTTGTCATGGCCTGATGTCCAAAGAACAATCCAACACTTGGACACTTTATCCTATTCATGGGTTAGTGAATGACCCATATGTTTGACATTGCTTGATTTCCAATATTCTCTAAACCACCTTTTAAACGAGAACACCAACTGTTCTTCACTTTGCTCAGCTTCAAAATCTTGTCTTCTGAATGGTAAAGATTTGTGTATGTGATGCATTTTAACTTTGTGTAAACAAATGATAGGTTAAAATCAGTCTCTCTTCTTTCATTGCTAATACTTTTATCATCTAGTGTCTAGCTCCATTCATGATTACAGAGAAAATGCATAATCTCATATTTCTAAACAAGCTATCTGCCAATGTAACTTGTTTGTGTCCACCTGGCATCTCTTATACACCTGATACTCCATTAGTTACCTAACTGAGTAACAGCAGTGTGGCTCTAATGACTCTGTAAAAGATGCTGAGAATCTACATCTTTCACTAAGGGGAATGCTCAAAATACATAAGAATGGCAGGTGAATTCTTCCCCCAAATCCACCAAAACACACTGGAAATTTGAACCATAGGGGCAATCAATGGGAGAAAAGTCACCCCAAGAAGTAGACGTTCAAACATGGGAAAGAGCCAGCCCATGACTGGAGAGGCTGGAAGCAGTTAGAAAAGTAAGTTGTTGTAATGAGGGATTCACCAGGGCAGCCGGAGCTGCCTTTTGCCAAGGGTCAGAAATTTTGCTGGGGAGGAGAAGGGTGCATTGAGTGTAAGAGGTGGTAGCAAGATAGTTTGGTGGAAGAGAAGTCTGCAAGAGCGGTGGGGGAGTAGGAGGTTGCAAGACTGGTAGGTTAAGGAGTATTCTGCAAGAGGAGTTGGTGAAAAGGAGGCAAGAACACTGCAGGGACGAGACTGCAAATAAGTGGGGCAGGAGGAGGCGACAAAATTGTAGAGGGACAGAAGAAGTGCAAGCGGATTTTGGAGAGACAAGCTATAAGAGGTGAGAGGAGCTGCAGGATACAAAGGGCTAAGGGGAGAAGGACCCTACAAAGGAAGCAGAACAATTTTAAAACTGTCAGATAAGAAATAGCTAAACGGGAGCCAAGAAAACTTGAAATCATAGAGAAAATGAGTTCTTTGCAAATGAATGTGGAATCTGTATTTTTAGGCTGTATAGGTTCAAGAACTACTTTGTGGGAAAAGAATGTGTTGAATCTGTCGGTTGTTAAATTCAAGTCTGAGATGCAGTGAGATGCCTAGCTAAAATGTTTCAGCTTAATGCAGTAGAAACATATTAATTGTGACCGCACCCATCCGTAACGGGTGCGTTTGAGGTGACAGCTTTTTATGTATAGAAATGTGTTAGTTTTTTTATTTTTTTAAATAACCCTTTTGTTTTAACTTATAACCATTGTCTTGTACCAAATTAAGTACTGTGGTGTCTAGGAAACGAATGCTTTACTTGTGTGTTTTACCTTTATGTTTAAAGGAACATTAATACTTATGGAGGATGCTGTTTAAACTGACTAATTCTGCTTCTGTCTGAATCCAATATCCCATACTTCAACACAAATGCAAAAAGGTATTGTCAGGAGATAACTGTATCACCTAATAAGTGAGTTAGTGAGCATGGAAAAGGGGCCCCTGAAAACAAAAATGTAGCCCTCAAAATAAATAATAGCCCTCAAGAAAATCTCAAAACAAGGCCTCAAAAAGCACCCTCAACACAGGAAGGTCTGCCAGATAAAACAGAGTGGTTATTAAGGAATAGATGTGTATTACAGTAGATGGGCACTGTATAAAGACTGGCCCAGTGTGCTGGGCAGACTGGAACACATTTCATGGTGGAGGTGACTTACTTACTGACTTGTCAGAAGTTCAGACACAAAACAACAGACAGTTAACCAGCATTGTTCAAACATTCAGGGAAACAGTCAACATTTCAACAAATGAAAAATGAAAGCTGTTCTTTCTTACCTCAAATTGTTTCATGATTAAAACAATGGTTCACACACGGTAAGTCAGTAGATTCCGTCAGACCGTTGCCACCATCAGGCAGTGAGTCTTTTAAGAAGGAATAGACAGAATTAGTACGTGAGATGGTTTTTAAAGGAGTGGATGAGCTCACAGCTGGAAATTCCAAAGAGTAAAACAACGCAGTTCCTTCCTAAAATGGGTTTGTCGTCAGCAACTGTGAAGCTAGTGAAACAAGACATGAACAAGTTCCTCTCAACAGGACTGTGAAGTTTCTGGAACAAAACAATACAGTTCATCAAGATGCTGAAAGAGAATCAGAACTGCACACGATGTTAAAGCATTGGGCTGGGTTTTATGCTCCCTGACAGCGAGTTTGAAGGTCATGGGATGTGTCAGAAAATCCACCTGGTGGCCTTCCCACTGCCCAATATCCCTTCCCCAACCCGTCTGACATTTGACAAGGGTGGGAGAGCGTGATATTCCAGACTTAGCTAAAGCCCAGGTTCCTCTTTGTTAGACTTATGTGTAGTCCCAGCAGCAACCGCCATTCCTACTCAACACTGCTGGAGCTGTTGGCTGAACTTTGTCCTAAAATTTTGCAGAAGGTTTACCTTAAAACAATTAACATTGTTCCCAGAATTTAACAGCTGTTGAGCAACCTTTAAGATCATGAATAGTTTTGCCACTGATACTTTAGCTGGAGGAATGCATACAAGCCATGCTGCCTTGTGAAATTATGGCCATGAATTCCTTTCTTCATCTAGACTTCCTCTGCTTATATGTAAAAATGGCAGCCTTAAATGGCCAAAATGAACAGTGCACTTGAAATACTGTGTACTCACACCCTGAAAAAAAAGTCCTGTTGCAGTTGGTTATTATTCTCTTCTCTGTTTGTCTCTTCACCGAGCTTAGTATTATTTACAAATTTTGAAATGTTACTGTGTATGCATATATCATATATGTTAAAAACAGGAGTGGTCCCACCACTTACAACGCTAGGGACCAGAACCTTCTAGTCTGATGAATAACCATGTACCACGATTCATTGTTTTGTGTCATTAAGCCTTTTTGTTAATTCAATCTGATACTGACCCTATTACTCCATAAACCTCAACTTTGTTAGTAAATCTTTTATGTGGCTCATTGTCAACTGCCTTCTTAAAATTAATTTAAACAACATCCTTTCATCAATAACTTGCTTCTTCATCAAAAAAACTTAGGCAAACTTCAGTTTGCATTGTACAGATCCATGTTGGATTAATCCTTAACTAACTCAAACTTCTCCAGTTGCTTGCTGGGGTTTTTTTTTCTTGTACTATTGTTTCCAAAATGTTACCTGCTATTATATCAAACTGACCAATCTGTAGTTACTAAGAATGCTGCTACTAACTTTACTGAATAAAGGTGTTACATTTGTCACTGTACAATCAATATTTGGGACTTAAAATCACCAATATCACCGCTCTATTATTGCTGCTCATCTGTGACTTCCCTGTAGATATGTTCCTCTATCTCTCTTGCACTCTCTTTCTTCCCCTCTCTCTCTTTTTCACTATTTGGAGATCTATAGAAGCAACATAGTATTATGATTCCCTTTGGCTTCTCAACTCTAATCAAATGGATACTGCCCTTGTCACCTCAAAGACACCCTTTTTCCAACTCTACAATGTTTTCCTCAATCAAAACTGTCATCCCAGCTCCCTTTTTTGCTTCCTCCGTAACATTGCCTAACTCCTCCGTCTCAGCTTAACTGCTACTGAAGTCGTCATCCAGGCTTTTGCTACTTCTGACTTCATTATCCCATTAGTCTCCTGCTAGCTTTGCATCACCCACAATCTGTAAATTTCATCTAAAACTAAGCTTCCTCTAACCTCTTGACTTGCTTTCAAATCCCTTCATGATCCAGTCTTTCCCCATACTTGTAATCTCCTCCAGACCCACAGTCTTCCAACATATTTGCATTTCTCCAATCTGATCCCATGATTATCTTTGATTCCTGTCACCAAAGATTGGTAGGTATGCCATCAACTGGTGGGCTTGAGCTCTGGAATTACCTCCCTCAATCTCTCTGCCTCTGTATTGCCCTCTCTAACTTTGGATTTGGGGTAGGAGAGCTGTAGAAAGGGCTTTAAGCTAATGGCGAGTGGGGTAAAGGTCGGCTTAAAGCAAAAAGATATGATGGCAAGGCCAATGATTTTGATAATGACGTCCAGGTTGTGGCATGAAGGAACAGATTGCATAAGCAGAAAAACAAGCAGCAATAGGGTCAAAGGGGGAAAAGTTGTTAAAAAAAAGGCAAAATTAACGTCTCTTTACTTAAATGCATATAATATTTGGAACAAAAATAAATTAATTAATAGCACAAATAAAGGTTAGTGGGCATGATCTTATAGCCATTATAGGGCTGTGGTTCCAAGGAGATCAAAGTTGGGAATTAAGTATTCAGGGGCATATAAATATTCAAAAGCACAGACAGGAAGTAAAGGATGGTGGGTAGCTTTGGTAATATGAGATGGAACAAGTATGGTAGCAAGAAATGGTTGGATGATGTTAAAGTAATTTCAGGGGAGACAAGAAATAACAAGGGGAAGAAATAACCAAATAGTCAGCGTGGCTTGGTGAAGGGAAAATTATGCCTGATTAACTTATTACAGTTATTTGAAGAGGTAACAAACAGGATAGGTAAAAGGAAACTAGTAGATTAAATATATATAAATTTCAAATAGGCATTCAATCAGGTACCGCACATAAGGCAAATTAATAAGATAAGGGCCCACAGTTTTGGAGCAGTATATTAGCATGGATAGGGGATTGGCTAACTGATAGAAGACAGAGTGTTGGGATAAAGGGATACTTTCGGGCAACCTGTACCTGGTGGTGTGCCACAGCTGTCAGTGCGGCAGCCACATTTATTTTCAATATATATTAATGACTTGGATGAGGAAAGTGAATATACTATCACCGAGTTTGCGGATGACAAGTATTGAGGTTGACATAATCAGCCTATAGTGAGATATCGACAGGTTGAGCGAATGGACAAAAACTTGGTAGATGGAATATAATGTGGTGAAATGTGAGTCATAGCATCATAGAGTCATACAGATGTACAGCATGGAAACAGACACTTCGGTCCAATGCCTCCATGCTAACCAGAAATCCTAAACCAATCTATTCCCATTTGCCAGCATTTGGCCCATATCTCTCTAACCCCTTACTATACATGTACCCATCAGATGCCTTTTAAATGTTATAATTTTACCAGCCTCCACCACCTCCTATGGCAATTCAATCCATACACACACCACCCTCTGCATGAAAGTGTTACATCTTAAGTCCCTTTTAAATCTTTCCCCTCTCACCTTAAACCTATGCGCGCTAGTTTGAATTCCCCTACCCTGGGGAAAGACCATGGCTATTCACCCTATCCATTTCCCTCAGCCTCCGATGCGTCAGGAAAGGTAGCCCCAGCCAATTTAGCATCTCCTCTTATAGCTCAAATCCTCTAACCTTGGCAACATCCTAGTAAATCTTTTCTGAGCCCTTTCAAATTTAACAACATCATTCCTGTAACAGGTAGACCAGAATCAAACACAGTATTCCAAACAGTGGCCTAACCAATGTCCTGTACAGCTGCAACATGATCTCCCAACTCCTATATTACCAAAAGGATGTGGATGCTTTGGAGAGGGTGCAGAGGAGGTTCACCAGGATGTTGCCTGGTATGGAGCGCTAGCTATGAAGAGAGATTGAGTAGATTAGGATTATTTACATTAGAAAGACGGAGGTTGAGGGGTGACCTGATTGAGGTCTACAAAATAAGAGAGGTATAGACAGGGTGGATAGCAAGAAGCTTTTTCCCAGAGTGGGGGACTCAATTACTAGGGGTCATGATTTCAAGGTGAGAGGGGAAAAGTTTAAGGGAGATATGCATGAAAAGTTCTTTACACAGAGGGTGGTGGGTGCCTGGAACGCGTTGCTAGCGGAGGTGGTAGAGGCGGGCACGATAGCGTCATTCAAAATGTATCTAGACAGATATATGAATCGGCAGGGAGCAGAGGGATACAGATCCTTGGAAAATAGGTGATAGGTTTAGATAGAGGATCTGGATCGGCGCAGGCTTGGAGAGCCGAAGGGCCTGCTCCTGTGCTGTAAATTTCTTTGTTCTTTGTTCTTTTGTTCTATACTCAATGCTCTGACCAATAAAGGCAAGTATGCCAAACGCCTTCTTCACTATCCTGTCTACCTGCAACTCCACTTTCATGGAACTATGAACCTGCACTCCAAGATCTCTTTGTTTGGCAACACTCCCCAGGACCTTATCATTAAGTGTAAAGTCCTGCCCTGATTTGCATTACCAAAATGCACCACCTCACATTTATCTAAATTAAACTCTATTTGCCACTCATCAGCCCATTTGCCCATCTGATCAAGGTCCCGTTGTACTCTGAGGTAACCTACACTGCCCACTACACCACCAATTTTGGTGTCATCTAAAACGTACTAACCATACCTCCTATGTTCACATCCAAATTCTTTATATAAATGACAAAGGTTATGCACATTGACAGGAAGAATAGAAGTGCTGAATATTATGTTATTGGGGAAGGACTCCAAAAAGCTGCAGCACAATGTGATTTAGGCACCCTGTGTATAAATTATAAAAAGCTTATTTAAAAGTTCAGCTGGTAAGTTTCCCCTTGTGAAAGAGTCTCGGACTAGGGGACATAATCTCAGAAGAAAGGGTTGCTCATTTAATCAGTAGGAAAACCAAGGGTTATGGGTATAAGGCAGGAAAGTTGAGTTGAGGATTATTAGATCAGTCATGATTGCACTAAATGGCAGAGCAGACTTGATGGGTCGAATGGCCTACTTCTGTTTCTACACCTTATTGCCTTAAGGTCTACCCTGATAATTTTCCAAGATTTCATAATAAACTTTGTTACATTTTCAGTTCCAGTTTTAGGTTTATTTTTTAGGTGACTGCAAAATCAAGAGCATGATGTTGCAAACTATAGTTTCCAAAAGGAAATGCGTCACGTTCGGCAACTCAGAAAATGTCACTTAGTTCCTCAGAATAGCTGGGAAACCATTCTGTAGCACTCCGTGCATGAAGAGTGGACGTAGGAAGATAATACAAGGGGGCCCTCAAAGTTATTCC